CATACATTTCTATCAGCTGTCATATCTGAATCCACTCCTTTCATAAGTATATCCTCTTTCACACAGTCCATCTATACTTTCTTCGGTCTTCCTCTTCCTTTGTAGCTATCCATATTCAATCTTTATAGTTTCTGTTATTTTTTAATCCACGTGTACAGACTCTTGGTACCTACTCTTTTTTGCACAGTTATTATATCTTGTTGGTATACTATTTTAAGTTGTACTAAATACAATACTTTCTGGTTTATGTCCCCATCCTCTCTATCATGTCCATACTACGCTAAAATTTTGCTTCTTAATTTCTCCACCACTGCCGCTACTTTTAACCTTCCTTTAATATAACTCTCGTAAAATAGACATAGAGATAAAATTATAACTAAGTTAAGTTTTATTGGAATGTAGACTGGCATTCGAGCACTACCTAGCGGTGGCGATATACCGTGCGTCGAGCGCGGCGCTGCGCCGGCGCGCCAACATGCTGGTGCTGACGGCGCGCGCGGCCGCCGCCAGCCCGCTCGCTCGCCCGCAGGCTGATATTATGAATGCAGACTCTAATTTGGATATTCCCAATGATGAAAGACAAATAGGTTGATATTTGACTATTTTTTTAATTATGATAGTATTAAAGCAAGAAAGATTTTAAATAATACCTTGTTGTGTCTTAGGCATTATTATAAAAAAAAAGTGTAATGATAAAGTAATTTGTGACAGTCAGTAATAATTACAGATTGTATATCTTACTCATAAAAACCTTTTTTTTTTCAGACGATAGACAAGTGGCCAACTACGCGATAGAGGATGTAACAAAGTCCCTAATACTGGAACGGGCCAGTGCGTCCGAGTCACATTTGAGACTTCCACCGGCTGACTCTATTAACTCGTATACCTTCGAACAGACTATACTGTCGGACAATGTAGGTAACCTTTTAAGTAACAAAAATATAAACTTTTTTAATAGCAATTAAAAAAATTGTGCAAATTTTCTTTTACTAAAAACTACAAAATTTTTTAATCAACCCCATAGACATTTAAATAACATATAGACGAGGCATAGTCAATAACATTTTTTTACAACAGTACCTTTTCTAGTCACGCAAGTCTAGTGCGCCACCTGGTGTCCTTGTATTGACATGTAATAAAACATTTTACAAAATTATAATTAAAGCTCCAATTTTTGTTATAAAATAAATTCAACATTATTATCTTTTAGTAGCTCTCATCTTTTGTCTTCTCACTTTACTCCTTTTTATGACACAACTTTTGTATTTGTAGGAAAACGACAGTGTGGACGCCTGGTGGTTGTACGATGATGGTGGACTGAACATTTTGCTGCCGTACATCATAGCGCGCCACAAGACAAAGATACCACTCAGAATATTCGCCTTGGCTAAAGCTGGCCTGCATATAAAAGTCGCCGAAGACCGGTATACTTGTATTAACTGACGCTTGAGTTGGCACATTACAAAGAATTCGTTATTTCTAGATGTACCCTACCCACTCAAGTGTTAATTATTTTTCAAATACAATTTTGTTAACTAAAAACCTTACAATTTCTGCTGGCAATTTTCTTTGCGGTATTTCTGGCTTAGTGGAAAATTGTTTTAACATTTTCAGTATGAGGGATCTTTTGAATAAGTTCAGAATCGACTATTCCTCGTTGACGATGGTGCAAGGAATTAGTGAAAAGCCAACACAACAGAGCATCGAGTTTTTCACTAGTCTTGTTCAGACGATGAAGATAAATGAAAGTTTGTCCTCTTTATTCATTTTAATTTGATTTTTATATAACCTATCTGGAATCTTAGGGCCTGTCCCACCAAATTGTAAATTGTCTGATAATAATCCAACGTGTAAAATATGTGATGGAAATATCGGGTTTTGTTCCCATATCTGACAGTGGCGTCATTTTTAACCTATCTGAGCTAACTAGTGGTGGGACAGCTCCTTAGAATACTTGTAACATTTTCTTTTTGTTCAGAACGTTTCATCACGGACGCAGAACTGGACTACCATAAAGCGAAGACCTACAGACAACTACGACTGCGCGAATTACTTCTGAAGAATTCTATCGACGCTTCGCTTGTTGTTATCACCTTGCCTATGCCCAGAAAGGTAAGTAAATATATTTAATAATGCAGCGTCATCTGCATTCAATAATAAGAAGGACTTTGCCATTGGGTAACAATTACCGTTGGTATAATCTTCTTTCTCTATCTTCTATCTATCTTTCTATCTTCCTTCTGTGATTGTACTTGTACTTATTGTCCCTTTCCCTCGTGCCGGGTTTTTCCACTTTATTTACCCTAAGTTTAATAGAGTGAAAATATATAGCCTAGTGTTTACGCTTTATTACATTACTTAGATATAGATTAAATAAATTGAACATTAACTTTTTAGTTGTAAAATCGCCTTAGCTAGTCTTAAAATTCTCATTTACGCCTGCTTACACTAATTTCACGATACTTGCCGTTTGCGTTGTCGCATGAGCATTTGACGCGTTATAAAACGCACGGATACTCATTTGATGGAAAAAGTTCTTTTAAGTGTCAATTGTATGCAGCAGTAAACGTCTTAAGATTATTATCTTGTCAGGACTCGGTGTCGGCCGCGCTGTACATGTCGTGGCTGGAAGTGCTGAGTCGAGACTTACCGCCCGTGCTCTTTGTTCGAGGAAACGATTCTTCAGTACTAAGTGCTTGATTTAAAATAGTTTAGGTTATCTATATAATCAATAATTATTGTTTTGCACAATTCAAGCTTTTAGTTATTAATTACTCCCATTCCCAACATGACAATATTTTTTATCATACTAATATTATAAAGAGGAAAGATTTGTATTTTTGTATTGTATAAAGCCATAAGTAAAACATGAAATTTTAGTTTAAAACATATTTCTATTTAGATTTTAGACAATATAAGGACAAGCTTAAGGCATAGGAATAAAATTAAATGTCTATTATGTCGGTTAATATGATTTTTATGTTAACTTCACAAGCCGGAAACTTCGTGCATCTCTTTCGCTTGTATCGCGTTCTCGCTCGCACACTCCGTTCAAGCGGAACGTGACAGTGATGCTTTTCCGCACGTAAAGTCGTTATTTTTTTAAAACAAAAAATCACTCTAAAATTATATTCGTAAACCTCAATAGAGTTTCTACAAACTATAATTTCAGGAACTATTTAAAATTACATACATTGTTTTTGCGGCATTTCTGTGATCCATTTGGGTTTTTTCTCTTTATTTGTATAAAAAAATGTCTCGCTAATTAAGACGCAGGATTACATTTTACCGAACATGGCAACAATTTGAATAACAATTACAGTATTATATAGTTTTTTTTTGTCTATCGCCCAGAAAAAAGTTGTGAACATGGAAACAATTCTAAATATTGAAAATTACTATCTAGACACCTAAAAGTATTTATAATATTATCTAGACAAGTAGACTATAAATGTGCATATATTTATTATGAAAATGAATATAAGAATTAGTTTTAACAATAAAAAATTTTTAACAATAACTTGGTGTTTTAATACGCAAATATGATATTTATTTTTCTTCTCGAGTTTTCCATGCAACATATTTTGTAAGTGTATGGACTTTCGTATTTAAAATTCGTAGAACGAAATATTGAAAATCGTAATAATTTCATTACATAAAATTACTTATATGAAAATACGGACACAATACATAAATATTTACGTAGCAATCGAAAAATATCAGTAATTTAAATATGTACAGTAAATCATTAGATTAAAAAGACATTCATAGAAAGAATATTTGTAATTAAAACTCGCTAGTAATTAGTACCGCAAAAAGTATAATTGTTCCCCTTAGTGTATATTTAACATTTACACTAAGGAAATCTGTTCAATTAACTCTTGTAACACTGAAAACTTTTTCAAAGGTCAAAATATTCAGATCGAATGAAACATCTAGAAAAACATTTTTCATCCCCTTCATACGCTATGAAAATAACAAAGACAGCAATTGTTTTTGTACAAATGTTTCTAAAAGGACAATCCAGTTTAAAAGATTTGCTTTTCATACCTTCGTACTTTAAGTTATTAAAAATGTAATAGAATATAAAAAATAAATATTTCATAGTACATAAAAACTAAACTAAATAAAAGACCACAGGTATAAACTAATATAAATGCTTCAAATATCGCTTACAACATTAAATTCTACTTATCAACGTAATATATCTTCGTCAGCGCATCAAATATTAAAATTCGATTTTTCGTTCCAACTCAACAATATTAATCACATAATTTAAAAAATACTACAAAACTACGCATTAGTAAGAATCGAAGCTTCGATCTAACATCAAAAGCCAAAACACTCCATGTACTTGGATACAGCAAGCACTTAACCAATCCCAATCCCATTATTATAGGAAGACGAGGCAATTAAAAGCGAAAACGCCGGTGACGTCACACGCAACAGAGGTCGCGTCCACACCGCACATAACAAGTATAGTTACATTCAAACTTTATATGGGCTCGAAAATTTGCGCAAAACGCATAAATTTAGATGTCGCTAAGACGTAAGAACAAATTTAATTATTACATAATTAATTGATTTCATTAGATATTAAGTGTGGATGCGACCTAAGTATTATTGGTAACTTAGACAAAAACCATTTCTAAGTTAACTATAAATTTCCACTCCCGAACAAGAGATACAGAGATACATTGCTTTCTCAATTCTTGTTTAAATAGTGAGAAAGAAGATTATTAATTTTTATACAAATGTATCGGCAGTAGTAATTTACTGTTAGGGACAAGTATTGATAAATCTGCCTAAAACTTAGCAAAAAAAAGCGTTGTAAACATCCGCTGTGAACAGCAGGCGTATAAAGTCGGGGACACACTCACACAAAGCAGCTAAACTAGGGATGGCCGATGATTCATCGATATTATTTATATTACATTTCGTTGCATATGTAAATTCATCACAAACTTTAGTGACGAATTATTTTAATTAAAATAAAGATTTTATTTGTTATTAAAATTGACAATAATATCTAAAGTTCGTTAAATAGTCAGCATCGCTCACCCCTAGCGCGAATGTAATTAAATAGCAAAACACTTGGTGATAAACTCTACGTAGTACTAAGGTGCTCGATATAAGAGGTAAAAAGGAGACTAAAACAAAGCGAATAAACAACTAATCAAACGGAAAAGTGCATTATGATATAAAAATACGTGCTCGCGTTAATTTTTTTTTTTTCAGTTTTCTTGTATTCTAATATTTTTAAATATTATTTTACAGGGTGTTTGAGTTTTTCGAGTTGTGGAACACTCTCATATCGACGTCGCGGCGACATTGGAGTGCTCCGCCGCTCGAGGCGCCCGCGCCGTCGCCCGGACGCCTTCAAAACTATATTTTAATCAACAATTATCAGCTGACATGAATTACGCACTTTCAGCAAAGAAAAAATATGTCAAAACACTACAAACATTTTTTTCGACTTGCGACTAGTGAAATCAACTCTACTTGACCATTAATCGAATAGTTGTTCTATTTTGTTAAGACAAATCGATTCGCTCAAGATGCACTATGTTTTAGTATCACACCTCTATGTCGCAGATACCTCGCTACTGTAGATAGTACACTGCCATTCCACCTTTACGGCGGCTCGGAAGTACGCACGCGACGCCGAGCCGCCGTAAAGTTTGAATCTTATAATACAATGCTTTCATTATACCATATAACCAGTATACGGTTCAGAAAGCCTAACATTTCAAACAATCAATTACGATTATGATTCTTCGTCTAACTACTTTATTATCTGTTCACTTTACCGTGTTTTATATAAACAAACGACATCTTCTAAAGGTTTTTAACATTTCTTTTAACACAAATAAATTGACTCAACTTTTCCGAACTGTTCCAGATTTTTCTGAACTAAACAAAATACGTAAGTACAAAAACAACATTTATTTATATAAAATCGCACGCTAACATGAACAGACTATACATTCGAACAAATAATAACATTTTTAAATTTGTTTTAGATTAATCTAAACATCGAATAACACACATACGGCATCGGACGCGGTAAAACACTGTAAATTAACACATTCAATGCCACAAGATTGAGTGCACTCGGCGGGCGAGTGTATGGCAGTGAAGGTGTTAACGATCATGTAGATTGTGGTGGGACAGTTTAGGACGGTCGAAGTGTGAACGTCGCGAGGCCGTGAGAGTGTGGTCTGTATGCGGTCATTGCGGTTGCGGTCACTGCGGTCACTGTGGTCGCGGTGACACCACTGCGGTCATTGCGGTCACTGCAGTCAATGCAGACACTGCGATCGCTGTGACGTCACTGCGGTCACTGCGGTTAAGGTGACTGCAGTCGCGTTGACTACGGTCGCGGTGACTGCGGACGCGGTGACTGCGGTCGCGGTGACTGCGGTCATGCTAATGGTACCTAGAGTTGAGATCTGCGTGCGGCTGACATACAACGCTCGCCCCCGGCTACTCTTCGCAGCCAGCGTCCTCACTGATCGTCTCGCCCGCTCTCTCCTGCGAAATGTTTTGACCTGCCACATGGTCATACTATTAGTACTATTTATTGATATAAATCCAAATATCACCAAATTATGGTGGCATTGAGTGTTTTAATGAAATCAATATGAAGTTGTATGTATGTTTGTATGGTGTAATGTCCGTACCCTTTTTCGCTGATGAAAGTATGCACTTCTTGCAGCTTATGAAGAAAAAGGAGACACGTTAGAGTTGGGCGTGGCGGGCAGCAGGTCCATGGTGCGGCACACCCAGCCCGCGATGTCCGCCTTCTCCCCCTCCGCCGCACGGATCCACTCGTGACTCTGTAACACCCAACCATACATTCATACATCCATGTACACTAAGAGACTTCGGCGGTATATCACTTTAAAAGCTAATCGTATCAACGTTTTGTACGATAGTAAGACGACGTGGAATCTTTTTTTTTAATTTAATTTTAACCAAATGTATTTTGTACACTTGGTGCCAATATATGACGCAGTTTTTAAATGTGTCTGTACAAATAAACGTATAAATGTACACGGCTAATTGTTTTTTTTATTATCATTTGCGCAACTTCTGCTACCAAGTTGATTATTTGTAACAAAGGGCGTAGTGGAGTATGTCTCATTGCTAGAACAATAGATTTCTTCTGTTTGTAGAACACCGCTGATTTCTGCGATTGTACCTGCTGATAACGCACACGTAAGCTTTCTAGTCTACGTTTTAAGAAGGAAACAAAAAAACAAAAACAATTTTTTTAAGATTATTAGACTGTTTACTTTAGACACAGTTACCTAAAAATTATTGCTTATTTAAAAAAAAAGTCGTGTTAAGATTATAATAAGATAAGTTAGATATATTAGAACCCTTGGTGTACATACCATCAAGGTCTTGAGATCAGCTCTCTCGTCGGGGTTCTTCTTGAGGCAGCGGTCGACAAAGTCCTTGAATTCGTCGGAGAATATTCCTGCGGGCAGTTTGGGCGGCGGCTCGTTCACTATGTAGTCCAACAACTCGAATATCGCCATCGGACGCGGGGAATTAGGCGCCTGGGAAACATTAAAAAGAGATGTAATCTGCTAGCTGTTCTCTTGCGGCTTCACCCACAGCGTATTATAAAAACTTTATTTTAATGGTTACATTTCATAAAACGTTCACTTGTAAATGTCAAAAATCAAATTACAACGAAGGCCTTCACCATTCGCTAACAATAACCGTTACCATGGCAACCTTTCTTTGTTATTATTGGGTTGTAGTTTTTGTCCTTTTCCCATATAGCGTTTTTTTTTCTTAGTTTAATAGCGTGAAAATACAGTCTAAAGTGTGTCGTAAGTGTAGTTTTTAATAAAATAAAACAAAGTAAAAACATGCTGTAATTGCTGACATCATACATAAGAAAGCAGTGTTTTTACCCTGTATTATGTTAAGTATTGATAAGAAAAAAAAACATGTAACCAACCTGTCCTGGGGAATGATCTTCATTCTGTCCTCCGAATATGGTGGCTAATGTCTTAGCGTCAGGCGGCGGTATGGGGTACATGCCGATAGCCATCTCCACCAGCGACAGCCCCAGCGACCAGATGTCCGACTGAACTGAGTAGTGCGTCCCTTGGAGACGCTCCGGCTGCCAATAATTATTCATTTAACGTAATGTAACGTAAAATAACATTTATATCTATCTTTGCATATAATTGGAGTGTATGTATTTAAAGGTAAAATTCCAGATTTCAGGAACATGGTGTAATTGGGTTGCTGATTATGAAGATCGCATTTAAAATGTGTTTTTGTGTCTTGTTCCCACAAACACGGCTTTCAGACAGACAGATAGATATTGGTTTGGATAGAAATTGGTCCAGTCTATTCAGAGATTACCGAGAGGTAATTTTGACGGGATTTTTACTGGAGGGTAGCTGACATGACATCATATTATATTTTTTTTATTTTAGGCTTGTAAAATTGCAATCTATCGCTGTGTCGGGTGAACCGATTCTGACAGGACAATCTTTTTTAATTCCGCCCTAACGAAATTTGCAGGCGTCAGCTCGTTCAATATAATGACGTAAGAGATAGGACGTGTCTGTTATCTGTTACTTTATAACTGTGCAATGGTCAGTAATGCCCAGTTCTCATTATCCCAGTCTGATAAATCCAGAACTGGATGTTGAATGTAAGTCTAGTAATAATATAAACTACGCATAAGGGTGACCCAATACTGTACAAGTCATGAGTATAAGAAATCTAGATTATTTGCGTCTTATTCTTGCATATTCAAAAAAAATATACCAAAGTCTGACTGTTTAAAGTACTTAAGCCTTACATTCAATTTTATCTTTTTAAATACATTAATGTTACGAATAATCTCTCCGTCTGTGACACTGCAATGTTATATGCTAATTACAAAGATTAACAACAATCATTTAAAATTCATTTGTACAATACATCTTGCAGATATATTGTAAATTGTAACATTTATAATTGGTGTTTATTTGAACTTTGAATTACACAAACAAAATTAATTTAAACAGTTTCTTTTGATTGGAATTTTGTCAAATTCTAATACATCATTTGTAATCTGTTTGCATAAAAAAAAATTCATCTCGTTTTCTGTCTAACGTCCAACCCTTTTTATCATAATGGAACATAAACTTTTACTGATATGATGGTTTTGTACACACAGAGAAAAAAATCAAAATGACTGCCATTTACTGTGGAGGTCGATTGAACCCAAGTTTATACCATATTTTTATATTAAAATAGTTATTTTATAAATATCTAGAATATCGCGAGTCTATATTCGAACACATTGTAGACACATTTCACTATATTAATATTTTTATACTCACAGACATGTAGCTCCTGGTGCCCACGAAGGAATTAGCCATTGAATCAATAAGTTGACCGGAAACACCAAAATCACAGATCTTGATCTCTCCGTTGCTGTTCACGAGGATGTTGGAGGGTTTTACATCGCGGTGCATGATGGCGTGCTTGTCACGCAAGTAGCTTAACCCTTTCAGCACCGCAGATGTTATTGTGCCTGTCAAAATTGGAGACATCAGCTAGTATTTCAAATTCAATTCAAAGAAAAATTCAATCAAACTCCTTATTGAACCTAAATTTAACATATTCGATTTAGTTACGGAGAGGACACTAGAAACATTTACCTACAAATATATTACTTTCAACGTCAGTAGTAGAAATAACATAAGCAAAAAATATTCCGGCATTTGAAGTGTCATTTGTTGATGTTTCAAGCCAGAATTATAGGTAATTAAAGGATATACCTTATATTAAAGTTAAAGTAACAAATACCATATAAATACCTAGAATAGATTCAGGAATTCTTCCCGCCTTCTTTAATATAAGATCGAGGGATCCTCCGTCCATATACTCCATGCAGATTGAAATCTCCCCATCACTATAGAAAGCACCATAGAAACCCACAATGTGTGCGAAGTTACATTCATGCAGGACCTTCAACTCGCGGATGATTTGCTTCTTTATAGCTGGTTTCACTTCTAAATGGATCAACTTGCGCGCCATTATAAGACCAGTAGATTTGTGGCGAACCTTCATAACTACACCACCATTACCTTGTCCTAATAATAAAAATATATATTAGTATGACACAAAAGAAATTGTCAATTCACTCATAATGCTTTAAACAACTAGTAAACCAAAATGTTTGGTCTTTAATATAAAAATCAACAGAATTAAAGCTTGTGTACTAACAAACAATTTGAAGCCAGTTAGTGCCAACACCAGAGTGTGTGTGTGAGTGTTTAGGCGTTTTTAATTTCATATTTCAGTTTATAATATGTCAAAGAATTTAAAATAGATTTGTGTGGCAATTTTAAAATGTAGTCCCAAACAAGTCTTATATTTCCCAATTACATTTTTACTTTTTAGGTTTACATTTCTAGTTGTGTTCAATTACCTAATTCTCCCAATTTTTCGAAATCATCATCACTAAGTTCACCAATCTTCTCCTTCTGACAGAGGAACACTTCAATGCGCCTCCTCTGTGTGTCATCCATCTCTATCTGCTCCAGTCTTTCAGTCAAAGCTTCTATACTTGTCTTTGATTTCCCAGCTAAACCCTGCCGCCTAAAACACATGTAATAGTTTAAAATATTAATTCCAGTTGGTTAACATTCTAACACAACCTTTAATGCCATAATCCATATCTCTTATAAGCAAATTATGTAAACCAATGTCAAAACCCAATGGCAAAATACCTTTATTGTCATTTGTGCATTTGCAAAAGAAAGATCTTATAATGTCATGTGGATGAAGCCACATGAGAACAGCTAGTAAAGATATTTATTTACCGTGGGTATTGCCATGATGATCTACCTGCCCAGCTACTGTAAATAAGGTCTTATTAATAGTTATTTTATAACTATTTCACATTTTTGAAAATACTTAGAAGGCATCCTGCCTTTCTTCAATGGTGATGTCCATGTTATTGAATTTGATTTTAAGAATTCTTGGTTATATTAAACTAGCTATTTATTTGCATATCACAAAGATTCTTCTTAAAAGGATTCAAGTGTATGTTCAATTATGTAACTAAGAATTGAACATTAATGTTTGCATTAAGTTTTAGTCAGACTATAACCATTTACAGATTGTTAGGGGGTTGTCTAGGGAATTAAAATTACAGGTCTAATATATAGCAATAAACATTTGTTCCAAACTCATAAATATGACTAGAAATGGTAGGACTAACAGGAATATTTCACATTAGAAAAGTAAAAAGAGGCTTATATAAAATATTTAACTGTGTCAAAAAGGTGTATACCATCATTATCTTTTTTATGAGTCGATAAGAATTCGTTATGTTACACTTCTGGAACAATACATTTAAACATTAAGTAATTTTTTATACTTACTCAGTAGCAGTGGCAGATTTCAGCTGAGGGGTCATATTAGACGGTGTAATTGCCGGAGCAGTGTCAATAGACCCTGGTGGGAGGGTCAAATTTAATTTATTCTTCGACATCTTACTCATCCTGGACACACATTTGTCATCGTAATAAAATGAAGGTGAATCCTTTGCGCCTGTATGCGCAAAGTAATTACGAAATCACATTGATAAAAAATTGACTCTATACTGTAGATAATCGTTTTTATTTAACTGTAAAGTCAACAAACTATCTTGAGAAATATCTTAAAACTGAGGTTTTATATTGTCCTGAGTTTATGGATTGCCCTTTTCTTTGGATTTTGACAATGGTGCGTTTGACAATGACGTAAAACGCTATCGATTTTTTTTATTCGATAATTTCGTTTTGAAACGAGTTTTTGCTGTCTATGATTTATCTATGGGGACTGCAAAAACTCAAAAACAACATTTTGCAACTTTGTGGAAAATTTATTTGCAGTGCAATTTTCTTATAGATTTCTACAAGTACGTGGGTAGCTGTGACCATTCAACATTTGCTATTTTGATAGCTACAAAAGCTTATAATTTCATAGAAATCACCAAGTATACTAAAAAAAAAATTATATGTCTTAAAATAAATTCAAGTTTATTATGTTTTAACGTACATGTAAACAATTGTTAGATGTTTATATAATAATTTACCGTTCTGCTTTTCATAGCGATATATAAGTTACTATGTAAAAACTTAGAATAAGTAATTGTATTTATTATAAACATTCATAATACTTTTTATGGAGATTTTAATTTGGTTAAAAATGCATTAATTCCTGGCTGTGTCTGCTTCACTTCTTGGACTGGCTTCTTTGTGTCAGGTTTCACTCTTTTGACGTTTTTATTTTCTTGCTTAGGCTTTTTCTTTTTTTCTGCACTCGGTTGTGTTTGTTCCACATCGGATGTACTTTTTTTCTTTTTTATCTTTTTCTTATCAGTTTCATCTGGTTCATTTGACGGCTGTAGCAATGTAGTCGTATCATTTACAATCATTGATAGTTTCTTAAAGTAATTCCACAATGCATCAACACATTTTTCTGGTTTCTCTCCATCAGCTGTTTCCCATAATAACCCATACATTCTAGGTTTTAATTTCTCCGTAGGCTTTTTGAGTTCACTTTCAAACTCATCTTCAAGATGTTTCAATCTCGCTTTTTGCGTTTCCGGTGAAAGAGATAGAACATCATCTTCATCAACAGTGGCTTCCTAAAATGTCAATAAAGAATTAGTATAAATTGTATTATAACTCATTAAAACTAATATAAATTAAGGTTTTTGCTCTCCATGACAAAACTACCAATATAGAATTTATCATATATTATTGCATTCTATTTTAATACCATTGGTATGGATAAAAGGTGTTTCTAACACACCCTAAGTGGTTAATTACCCTCAGTATAAATTTAGTGCAAGAAATTTACACTAAGAGTCTCCCTTAGTTACTTAGAACTAGGTATGAAAGTTATTAAAAAACAATTACAATACCTCATCACTCAAGTATCCATGCGGCACGAAGACCTCGTTATCGACCTCATATTCGTCTGCATCAGGCTCGTCGTCACTGCCGGCCGCGCTGCCGTCGATGCTCTCTCCCTCCTGTTCCTCCTCCCACTCCTCGTCACTATCCACCTCGTAGTCTACATGTTTCTAGAAACAACTATCATGTTACATGGTGCCTAGCGCTTGAGATCTTGAATCACACTTAAGGCAAAAATTGACTGAATTCAGTATTGTATAGCTTTCACTATCGCATATTGCCCTGAATCGATTGAGCTATTAAATAAATATTAGTTAATACAGTTTGTTTTGTAATGCTTGTTAAGCTAGCTAGTTCAGGTCACATTTTGAGTCATGAGTCACCATAGAGCACTGGTTTAATGCTATGTACAATAACTATGTGAGCGAAGGCGCCACAAGCTACCTGGAGACTGGCAGCTTCAAATGAAAATTATAACTTTATGAAAATGCTAAATTGCAATATGGTTCACTGATCTGCTTTACTCATGTAAACTGTAATTTGCAAGACTTTTTGGTTTTAACTAGTAGTCATAGGACTACTTTCTTATCATCTTTCTCCTTATCCTACTCTCGTAGGGTCGGCGCAAAAGGTTTTTGTTCTCCACATAACTCTATCATACGTCATCTCAATCATCACTCCTTTTTGATCATGTCACCTTTCATGCAATCCATCCATTACTTTCTAGGTAGGTAGACCTACCGATGTACCCTTCCACACTCATAACTAACATTCTCCTTGTAACATGCAATTCACAGGACTACTATCTCTCTTTATAAATGTAGGCATCTACCATATTGGCCAAATACCGAAATACGTCACTTCGTAAGCACTGCCACTATCTGATTAACATCATAATTTTAATGGAATTAGAAGTTTAAGCATATCCTTATCATTTAAAATGCTATAACAATTTTAAATGTTGTGCCAGTATTTGGCCGTTAGTTATGTAATTTTGGTAGATAAAAATCTTTTTAGATTTATGTTTATAATACCTGATCTTGTTGAAAAGGTCTTCTAGGTTTAACAAATGTGCTACGTTTTCTCCAAGTGCCCCAGTATGGTGGCCTTCTGTTTTCATGGAAACTTAATAGTTTTGGCCGAAGCCTCTCACGAACAGATGTTTCACAGGATAATATTTCATTAGCATCTTCTATAGGTGGTAAATCATCTTCTGAAAGAATGTTTTAAATATTAAATTACGGTATTATAAACAACACACAGAAACTTAGACATGTCAAAAACACATAAGAGAACATTTTTTTACAGAAAGTAATTTTATATGACTTGAAGGCTACTTGACTTGCCAGGCTTGTTAACTAGTATTGCCCACAACTTTGTCCGCGGGGAATTTAAAAAAACATAGCCTACATGTCCCTACACACTGTTGTCTATGCCAAATTTCATTGAGATCCATTGACCCATTTTGGAGATACCTTCTAATAAATATCCATACATCCATCAATCTAAACATTCACATTTATAACATTAGTAAGACAGAATTACTCACCCACAATCATAACATCATCATCATTTTCTTTATCACTTAAAGGCCATGTCTTTCCACTTGACAAAGGCTTGCTTGAACCTTCTTTCAAACTTTTTACATACAGTTTATTAGTTGGCGCATTTTGTCCTTCAAGTAATTTATCTAAATTTTCTTTTTGTTCATCACTTATATAATTTCTTGTAGTAGGCGCCAATCTCATATCCGCCTTAATTGTGAAACTGGACAATACACTGTTTTTGCTAACTGGACCTATTGTGTGCTGGTCTTTCTCAGTTTTCTGTTTAGGAACAAAGAAATTCACAAAAGCTTCAGCCGCTTTCTTTTTCTTTTGTTCCTGTTCTAGTTTTTCTAACTCTAAAGCCTCTTGTTTCTTTTTCTTTTCTTCTTCCCTTGCTTCCTTTTCTTTCCTACGCATTTCTTCTTTTTCTTCCCTCTCTTTCTTCTTTAGTTTTTCTTTTTCTTCCCTTAATTCTGTAACAATGAATTGTGAATTAAGACAAAGGAAAATGTAAAAAAATAGAAAACAAATAATAAAAGAGATGACATACGTTTTTCAACATCCTTCTGACGTTCTTTCTCTTCTTTTTCTTTTCGTCTCTGTTCTTCCTTCTCTTCTTTCTCTTTGCGTTTTTGCTCTTCTTTTTCCTCTTTCTCTTTCCGTTTTAACTCTTCTTTTTCCTCCCGTTCTTTCCTCCGTTGCTCCTCCTTTTCCTGCTTCTGCTTAGCTCGTTCTTCTTTTTCCTGTAGCCTTTTCTTCTCTCGTTCTTGTTTCTCTTTATCTTTCTCTTCTTTCTTTGTTGCTGAGTCTAATTTCTTCTGGATTTGCTGAAACATTTAAACGTTGATGAAGAGAAGGGAATAGGTGAAAGAATTTTGTGTATTTATTTATCTTAAGTAACTATTTGAGGAGGCTTTTATAAAATATTTTTTTGCAATTTATTAACTTTTTCAGTTTATAAATTGCACAAGTACAAATGTTCATAAGTATCCTACGTAGTTAAATGTATGTTTTATAAGGAACTAGCTGTTCCCGTGCGATTTCATCAGCATAAAATTATTTTATTGTTTACATGTGTCAAATTGTCAATTGCAAAGGTCAAAATGACATGACATGACAAAACTTGGCAACCTTGCTTCCTTGATGTTGGCAGCAACTTATGACCTCTTTCCCACATTAGGCTTTTTAGCAAAATATTTACTCCCTAAGTTTAATGGCGTGAAAATATATAGCCTAAAGCGTGACATAAGTGTAGGGCTATTTATTAAAAAAAAGAATTATCCAAAAATATGCTGTAATTGCTGACTTAGGCAACAAAGAAGTGTGTGTTTACACTTTATTATAATAGTATAGATTAATAATGCTTTACATTTATTTTATTTTCTTATTTGATGAACTAAAAGAAAGGACAAAATTATAAATTGTAAACAATAATTTGTATTCATTATAGAATGTTGTGTCTAATGATCCCAATGCAATAAACAATCTTACCTGTTTTGGTGTTAATGGTGTAGAATTATTAGGAGTCCTATCTGAACAGCTTGATGTTGAATTCCGAGTTTGTCTGGGTGTTATATTTGATTGGGCAGATTCTTCACTTGTTTGTGATGTATTCAAGTCCAATTTATTTTCTAACTTCGATCTATTCCTTGTGCTCCGTTTGGGAGTAACCATACTTGGTTCATCATTGTTATTGGATTTATTGCAATCTCCATCTTCTATTATCTCATCTTTTTCAGTCTTAAGTGCAGTACAATCTTCAGCTATTTCCTTAACATTCACCTCAATATTATCTACAGTACATTTTTCATTTTCTGTATTAATGTCATTATTTTTGTTGGAAAATTCTGTAGATTCACCATCACAAGAGATATCAATATTTTTTTCGCTATCATCAACTTCCATACATGTAGATCCATTTAATTTTTCCGAATCTTCTGTAGTTTTAGTTTCAGTAGGGCCTGTAACATTCTTGGAATCTTTGCCATTTTTCTTCATCAATGTTTTGGACTTTTGTTTTTTCTTCCGAGCACTATCTACCAATTTAACATAAGGATTGAGTTTTTTGTCTACTGTCTGTGTCTTTGTTGCATCTTTACTGTCCTCGTCACTAATAACCACCAAGTCATCGATCTTGTCGTTCTCTTTTGTTACTTTACCCAATTTGGTGACAGGCTCACTTTCAGGTGCAGATAATTTTCTCTTTCTGGTTTGAGTAGTTTCTGTCGCAGGTGTAACGCCGCTTAATAATTTAAATGGAAGCCTGGCCTGTTTTAGTTTTTTCTTTGAAGGTGTTACGTCCGCTTCTTCAGACTTGGGAGTTTTCATTTTAAATATTGAAGTTGATGAACTAAATTAATTCTAAACATAAAATTTAAATAACCAATAATAATAAAGCTCTTTTCTTTTATAACTAATAATCACATTTCAAGGCACAATACGATAAAAGCTAACAATATTATCCACATTAGTTCTATAATAGTGCAATGCAAAATACTTTGACAAGCGACTTTATAAAACGCGGGAGTTTGGTGTTTGTGAACATTTCCGTTCCATTATCTTCCAAACTTTTAACCTTAGATCGTAAAAAATGTATTTTTGTCAAGAACTATTTTGAAGTGTTTAAAAATTACACAAGAACAGGAAAAATAATACTCATACTTTTTTGATACATCTTTTCCAACACATTTTAAATTCTACAAATGTAAATGGCAATTAAATTTGAACATAGTAGAAACGGAACGCATGTAATGCCATACGTCAGTCTTCAACATGACGTTTTTTAAAATAATAGTGATGTGCTGTAATGTATATTTAATGACATAAAAATTGATATTTCATTCGCCCTAAAGCTTTTACAATTTCCTTTTTTTGAATAAGTACCAATCGTTTCTTATTTTTCCGTTTGATATTACTTTATTTTTTTTGTGGCAAAGGAACTAGCGTTACCTGTTACTTGATATTAAGTCATTATTCTATTCAGGCTGGTCCTTTCTATTCAGTGCTGTTGAGATGATTGTTTTATATTTACCACGTTTGTAAACTCTAAATTAGGTTTATTGAAAGTTTGAAACTACTATTTGTAGAGAGTAGGCGGCTACGTCGCCTACACTCTCACCCCCCGTGCTTCCACTTCAACCCACACTAAAAAAAGAAAATGGGCAACGTGTAACACACCACTAAGAGTATATGTTGTTTGTAGTTTATTTATACATTGGATTATAACGATTTTTATTTCCTAGATTATCGTATTTGTTAAAAAAAGACGAAATGCGCAAAACTATTTTATTTAGAAGAAGTTACAAGATGGATCACATTTGAAGTACAGGCGGGATATCACATTTAACATCGAAGTAACTACAGTATGCTCTTAATTATTTACAATAACATTTATTACAAGTTCTCTCTTTATTATCATTATACGGAAATACAAAGAAAAAATAATAAACGATCATTCCCACAATTATCTTTACAAAAAATAAATTCGAGAAAATAGTGCTTGGCCGTGCTCGCCTCGGCGGGTTCACTGCCGCGCACCCAGATTATAAGTAAAACAGCAACAAAAATTGTGCCTAGAAAAGATTTTATTTCAAGAAATACACAAATAAAATACATTTGCGTTTTATTTATTTTACGGACTCAATAATGGACGATAAATATCTTAATAGTGAAAATATTCGAGTTACATAAACATAAAAATAAAAAATATTTAGATTTATTATTTTTCGAAGTATATAAGTTAGTATAGAATAAATAGATTTCTTGTTAATTTATTAAAACACAGATAGTCTTGTCTTAAATAATTAATTTATCGTGAATATATCTTGAATAGAAGTATGCATAGTTATTCCAGGGCAGCATTGTTTGTCTGTAAATATCATATAAAATTAAATGGTCAAAATACTTAGATATAGATATTTTATAAAGTACATAGAACTAAATATAAATGCATTGAATGGTATTTCATATTTACGAGTCGTGACGTGAGTACATAAAGCATTTTAATTCAGACATGATGAAGATATGTTGCACATTTTCATTGAAGATAAGTCTTGTTAGAGTTATAAAAAAGATCGGCATCTTTCTTACACAATATTGTTTTGGTTATTGTTTTTAAATAATCAACATTTGGAACTTTTTTGGGGGGAAATCTTGAGTCCACAACAGGAATTCGTTGTTAGAGCTCTCCGCCGTAGGTCCTGGTAGCACCTGATGACGTGCAGAATAAGTCGAAAGAAAAATGTTGTAAATATTCTTTCTGCATGAAACATTCTTTTTTATGCATTGAGGTGTTATTGAGGCGATGTCGGATGGAGCGAATAACTCTTTTTTAGATGCCCATTGATTTCGATCAAATGACTGACCTCAAAACCAGCCTGTCTGTGACATATTTTATCTATTATAAGAGTGTATCAAAATAAACGTATATAGTATACAGGTATTAGCCGTCCGCAGAAGGTTTTCCGATGACTTCCCCTCATACTAATACGGACCGCGTCCCGCGCTTGTCTGTCCTACCTTTTAGCTATGGTTAGGTCAACTAAAATTGATGACCTGCAGATCAGCTTACGGTTTGCATAGGTGAAATAGATCAGGGAACCGGCTTGTATATCAGCTTAATTTGTTTGCATAGAGGTATTATTTGCGTGAGCTACGAGTCATGGGATTCCACACTTACATATATACTATAGCATTGAGATGTTAGCTAATTTATGGTAGTTGTGGAGCCGCAGCTCAACACTTCACGATTATGTGAGCTGATCTTTTGATCCGATTCAGAGATCATTTGCACACGTCTAGTACCGTCAGTTAAATCATAATGTGTGACGTCATGCAGCCAAGCTTCTGCGCACGACTAATAGTAATAGAAAGATTCCATTAAAATATTCATTTTGTGCGGTCTTAATGTAATTGTGAAACTTATCATTACTAATTTTACACAATATTGGTTTTTAAATCTATTACATTGTCTAATAATATATTTGTTTTTACATTACACATAAGGATACGTACACTTATTTGCTATAAGCGTTTTCACATCGATCACAATTACAAAGGAGAATATAATGATTTGGAAGAACATTGTTTTTTATCGTATATCTAAACACATATTGAAAATATGATTACTATAAATAAATATTTAATTAACAAATTAAATATGACAAATACTAAGTTGAAGTAAGGAAAAGTTTGCGTAGTTGTAAATTAATTATGTTAACTATTGTTAATATTAAAATGAAACTTATTCTATGCGATGAACGTATTTTTTTCATAAAATTTAGTTGCAATGTTAATAAATACGTTGATATAACGTCCGCATAATGAGCGGGCGAGCCGGCTGACGAGGCGGGGTGGCTTGGATAGGTCAATCACTACCGAACGTAGCGCATGCGTCGCCCGCTCCCCCAGCAGTTGTCGATTTGGTATCTTCAAAGGAACCTTAATAAGTTAGCCATGCATGATTAGGACTTATATTCTGCATTATTTGCTCGTTTTTATATAACCTCAAAATATGTGAGAGTGTAATTTTCATTCGTATTGTCGAGAATTTGAGGTTGTGGAATTCGTACATATGATTTATGACTGGAAAACTTTCGCTTTTGTGTTTTTTTTTCTGGATTTAAATTAAGATGTTTATAATCTTTTGATCCCAATTTCTTTTTCCTGCTTTCGCACTAAAAACACTCTAAGCTCGAACTACATTCACCAACTTGTTTAAATAATTACTTCATTTTTTCT